GTATAATTCGACGGGTAATCATTTTTGATGTAATAAATAAATAACGAAAGTCTAAGTTTCTCGAAAGTGTCAAAATATAGGAAAATAAGATCGCGATAATTCAAAACGTAGCGATGATGATTAGTACGAAACTATTCCTGGATCGTTCACCTCGAATTATAGAGTGGTTTGCTCGTTCACCGTGATCTCGAGAGAATGTTCTATGGTTTCTCGCGTTTGAAATAGCGATAATTACCTCCTATTCTATCGAAATCACTGTGGTTAGTATAATAAAGATGATAGTGGAAGATTGCTAGGGGAATAACCTACCGAAATATCTCATTAAATTTAGGAAGAGAGTTACAACCCAGGGGTTAACTCGAAAATTATCGTATATCACGAATCGCGTTACTAATTCAAAATTCGAGCAATAATTGCAAAGATTATACATCCACGTGTTCGCAACTATCCCTTACTAACGACGTTCTAAATAATTTAATATTTTCCAAATTATCGGCGAAAAGAAAATTTGAAATATAGAACGCCGTGTAAAATATTATTTTAAACCTGGTAAACGTTTCTCGTGGCATTACTACTCATAATTACTCATAAAGATACTCATAAATTAAAGTAAAAAATTATAAATTCCTTGCACATATTACCTAGCCTTTTTACACGTATGTGAAATTTCTTTAATTCACCAACAGCCTATTTCGCGAGTGATATTTATAAAATTCTGACCGTATTTCACTGTAAATTACACATTTTTCAGCGATATCGCGATAGACCGATATCCACGAGATTTATAAATCGGAATTATAAATTTCTCGCACGCAACTGTACGTACTGTCAGCCTCGTGCTTTCACGAGGATATATTATAATTACAAAGCAAAGCCTAGCATTATGAGCCGCGATGAGCTTTTACCTTCGATCACACGCATGATCGCTGCTAGATCCACATCCATTAAAAATCGGTAACTCGATATCGGGCCATTGTCCTAACGTGCCCGACGCACATGCCTAGAAAGTTTGCTTAGTTGTGCAGCGGAGGCCCGAAGAAAGCGATACATTTGCTATGCATATCTAAACAATACCCTGAACGGGTTTTCCTATGAACGATGTTTGTTCATGCGCACGATTTCGTATCGCCTCGAATCTTCCGAGCCGGAAGATGAAAAACTCTACCTAGCGTTCCAACGTATAGTTAGATCTATATACCTTCCTGTCTACATTCTCGGGCATATGTTACTCGCATGCATTCATTTCCTGGAATAATACTCGTACGTAATCTAATGTCTAAGAATTTAGATCGAGATTTCATTAGGAATTTAAATTTATTCAAATTTGTTAGAGGAGGGATTATCTCGATTATTTGATCGGCAGAATAGTGGAAAATGGTGGTAATAAAAATTTCAAACTAGTAGTCTTGCGAAATATAAGATACGAAGAATTACCATCTTTCTGATAATTTCATAACAACCCAAGTATTTGTAAAAAAAAAAAGCGCAGAAGAGTTGCAACAAAGTTCAAGGGGTGAAAGTTACGTTTCGATGCATACGAAGAATTTTTAACGCAATTTATTCTTCCTCTCGTCGAGCCACAAACTGGCAATGTGCTTTATACTACAATTATTTCCCCACTATCAGAAACAATTTATTATTTTATCTTGCATCTAACGTGCTCCAAGCTAGTTTACATTCTGGCACTGTTCGAGTAATGTATCGTTTCTTTAAACGCAACACTGTTCGTACGATCCATTCCATTCAACGTTGCCAACGGACACCATTTTAATCCCACGACCGGGGATTTTCCGTGGACCTCTGTACACACCGTAGTCACTAACGAGACAATTTTTCAAAATTAAACTACGTCTTTGTGATATCACTGTACCCTCGGTCATACCAGACGCGACGTACCAAAGAGAAACCTCAACACCAAGCTATCGAACTTGAGAAATAAGTGCAGAAATAAGTACGACTGAACGATGAAAACGAAATCATTTTCAAAAAAATGTCGAATTCGTATTGGAACGATATAATATGGAAAGCATCGCGCCGAAGGAACACGCGTATACTGTAAAATTGTTCAGACTATCGATTACGTACGAAACAGGCATCCACCGAACCATAGAAAGGAGAGAAAAGGAGCGAAAGAATGGAAGAAGGAAGAGAAAAGATGGAAGAGACCCCCTCGTATCCGGATACGCTCCGCTCCTGTCAGTCGTATGTCAACCCTCGTTGTTTTTTTGCCGCGCTCTTAATAATTGATCATCTGATTACGATACATTATACCCCCCTTTCTCTACTTTGGTACACCGTCGGAGAGAGGGCATTATTCGTGCACCGAGGGAAACAGAGTGAACGGGCGAAACAGAGAGGGAAACTTTTTCTTCCGTCGCCGGCCGAGGGACGAGCATTTGCATATAGGCCCCCTTATCGACAAATACACCGGGGGCGCCCCTCGTAATGAGGGCCCCCTCCCTTCGCTCTTCGTCCCTCTTTTCCTTTATTTTTTTAACGTGGACCGCCATTGTCCGTTAACTCATTCGACGCGGCAGCGTGGACCAGCTTCGTATCTCCCTTCCTTCCTCGTTATCCTCTTCATCTCTCTATCGCCGTCACCCTCTCTCCTCACCCAGGATCCTTCGTTCCTCTTCGTCTCGCTCGTTACGTTCGATGTTCCTGTCGAATCGACAGCACCGAACCCCGACCCGCGACGCGACGTTTCCAGGCTGGGAACCGCGTTAAGAAGAAAGGAGAAGAAGAAAAAAAAGGAATGAAAATAGCAACGGGGAATCGGAACAGAACCGATTACGCGTGGAAAAATATGAATCATAGAGATAGAGTTGGAAGCGTGAAAATGTGACAGGGATTCGCTACCGTGGCATCTGCTTTTCGAGATAAACGTATGAAAAAAAGAAAAATGGCCGAACGAGTAGGGGACGATAGAGCTGATAGGAGCCCTTCCGTTGCAGCGCGCAATCGGCGCCACGAGACGCGTGAGAATGATCCTGTCAGGTCGCTGAGTTCGTCGTGGGAATTGCTGTGTACTCAACTCAACCTGTTCTTGCTTCTTTTTTTCTTCAAGTACTCTGAAAATAAATTGATCATCTGATTCAATTCGCATGCCGCGAGTCTCGCAGAGAAGGGTGGTTTGGAGAAATCCACCCTTATAAATCTACGCTCATTTTCTAATTTTCTAATTTTTCTCTTTCATTGAAAACGTAATTAATTTCGTAGATAAAAGACACTTTGACTGCAAATATCCTCCGCTTCTCTAAATCGTCGCTTTAAATCGAGTAAAACGTGCCTGTTAGAATTCTCTCGATCACTACATCCAGGACCGTACTACTAACCGATAACCGAAACAAAATGCAGGAATAATGGAACACGTCGGAATATTCGTAAGACCGAAAATAGACGTACAGAGAGAAAATGGTGTATTCGAAAAAATGTCCGTCAGTTTTAGGGACAGCAGGTCGCAGAACGTAGGGGACCGGTTCCGTAGCCTCGAGAGACCGATCGTTACCGACTTCGTTACACAACTGTTAGGATAATCTGCGGCGAGAATCATGAGCCGTGATACACGTATGCAGGCATGTATAGGTTATGTCCGGCCCGGGGGTGAGGGCAGGTGTACCTGCCGAGAGAATAATTAATATTCAGCGAGGAAAAAGTGGGCGAGAGCCGGCGATGGTCTTCTCTTATGAACAGTTAGCGCGTTAGCAAACGGGCACATCGCTTCTAGACACGCAGCTGGTCGTCCGAAGAAAGACTTCCAGGCCCAATTATGTTCGTCTTGTCGACCGTTCTTACACCGTAATTGTTTCACGTTTGATCTGCTGGCCGGTACCTTGCCCGAAATTTCCTACGATTGATTTTATCGCGCTTCTTAGATTCCCACTGCGTTCTTGCACACTTCTACCGTACGGATGAGACGTAATCGAATACGCGATATCAAAGATATTAAACGAGGTATTAAATTTGAAATAAATACTTCTCTTCGTTAACATATGCCGAGAGTATTTTAAAAGTGGGCCCAGGACGTTAAGGACTCGTAGTGACAACCGTAAGGAGCAAAAATTGCCGATCGACATAGGTGATTTTATAGGTGCGATAGGATTAAGCTCTTGAGTATCCCATAAATTTGAAGAAATTCAATCAGAGAAGAAAGCAAATAATTTTACGCGGAAAGGATGAATCGTGAAACTTTCGTTGATCAGCGATTTTTAACGTGACAATTGACCATGTTGCGAGGGAAATTCTCAAGTTGAATAATCGGAAAACTATGTCAAAGTGAAACGGTCACGAAAGAAAAATTTCAGGAATAAATCGTAATCCAGTAACATAGATATCGACAATCTTGGAGGGAAATCTCGGTAGCCTTGATAACGAAAGCGTGTATAGACCGTGCCGTAGGACGAATTGCAGCTGCAGAAAACGAGGAAAACTTATGATCAGATAAGGGCGTGAGCGGGAGGCCGGTATAAAAGAGTTAGAGAAAAAGAGATAGCGGAAGAGGGGTCGGAGGAAAGCGGAGTACAAATTACGAGCACCCGGAACTGGTCTCGTGGCCGTGTTAACTTTGGTCGCGTGCCTTCGGGAAATGCCTCAACTTTTGCAGCCACGTGTTATCGTCCGGGCATTATAAACTTTCCATTGCTCGGCCTTTCCCTCTCCCTTTCCTTGTTTGCCTTCATTATTTACCAAGCGTTAACGAAATTTATGGCTTGCCCTTGCAACCATGATCTAGAATTTTCAGACTCGGCCCAACTCCTACCATCTTATTTTCCACTTTCCACTTTCCACGTTTCCGTTTCCGTTTCTGAAATCGTTCCGAATATCGTCATTTTCTCAAATTCTTTCAAGTTTCTTCAAATTTTGCCGAGTCCATCGTTTTAACCCGTTACGTGGTTCCAGTGTTAAGTAATATTTGAGAATATCGAAATAGCGTATACAGGGATACATAACGTAAATATGGATTGATATATTTAAGATGACATTTGTGTACTTAATTCCAGATACGAAGCAGTGGAGCTGATCTATCGCGAAATAACCAAGGTTTACAAGCAGTCGGAAATTGATTGGAAATTAGTACACGATGCAGGATGCACCAGAGACGACACGGATTTACCGGACCACGTTACTACCCCTAATGATCTGGATCGATTAATCAGCGGAACGTTCAAGTCATTTTTGGCTGCTCTGCCAGCTCCTCCTACGATCGTAACAATTGCAAGGTACGAAAAAATAACACACCCTTGCATCTTACAGTAAGACTTTGATACGTCGATTACTAATAATTATTAAATTATTTACCAAATAATTTTCGTAAGAAATCTATATCTACACATTGAAGCTGTATACGCACGTTTTACATGGGTAAATCAGGAAAAAAATTTTCAAATTTCCCGCTCTTTCTCCTGAATTTTTCTATTACGTCCATGCAATTATTCAAGCTCCAAATCATGCTAGAAAAATAAACACTTTCCCGAAGAACGCACAGACTACTCATCGCTGAAAGGAAAATACGCGGTGAAGAATAGCCGTCGATAAAAATACAGCCGCGAAATGTTTTTGAAGCGCGTGAAATTGAATTGCAAGGTCTCTGTCGGTAGTTAGGTCGGCGGGGTCGCAGATGGCGTGGAAGAAGATGCTGGGAGGGCTGGAAATAGAGAAAAAGGGAGGATCGTAGGGGAGGTATGGTTGGGCAGGGCGAAGGGTGGGTTCATGGACGTTCGGTTACCATCAAGCCCCACCCTCCATGTGGGCAAGGGGTGGCCTCGTAAGGGGTGCACAAAATCAAATCCCCGACCTTTCGGCACCCGTTGTCAGATGTCTCTGTCTTCGATGTCCCACGACAGATGCTAATTATTGCTTTATCACTGTTCTACGCTCTAGTTGGTCGGATGATTAAGGCGAGACACGATAATCCGTTTCTCAATTTCTGCCGGCTCTCGTAATAAACACGCTACGCCACGCCGGAAATTGTGATTTATGAAACACACGAGGTAGATACTAATGAGATCATCGACAGAGAGAACGTCTGGCGGAGAGGAGCCTTTAGACGGATTCGCATAAGATAGCTCGTCGAGTCGTATACGATTTCTTCCAGCATGAGACGATAAAGTTTGTAACTTTATATAGTTGCGTTATTGCTGATAGCAGTGACCGTGGAATATAAAGTCTGCGGGACTTATGGTCTAATTGGATATAGAAACGACGAAGAACGTTAGCACGATTACATAATAATTTCTCAATCGAATCAGGCGGTATAATTAATTTATTAATAACCTGGGAGATATTGAAAATACGATATTAACCCTTTGCAGCACTCGACGACTTTTTGGCTAGAGAAGAGTAGAAATTCAAAGATTCTCTGCTAAAAAACTGACGATATTTTTTTGAGCAGTAATTAAAGAACTGTATAATAATAGAATTATAGAATTATTTGATTTCGATACCTCGCACACTGTTACATTACATTAAATTTGATATATTAATTAATATCGATCCTCCAAATTTTATGAAATGGTGACTGAAGCTCACATCTCGAGTGCAAAGAGTTAATAAACATTTGAATAACAACGAATGCAACCTAAAATTGAATTGGTTCGTTCAAGAGCAAATGAATACGCGATACGCGTGATAAAATCAATTGTGGTATAAGTATATATATTTCATTACGTTTTATAATATTTATTTTCCCCCAAAAAGATAGAGTATTCGAAATCCTAACTGATCTTACAAAAACGTCCAAGAATTGTGTTATGCTATTTAAACGTGGATGTAAATAATGGAATCATCCGTAAATGGTTGATTTGGCGCCATCTCGTGATGAAATTAGGGAAATAGTATTCGGACTTCCGGCGGTGGCAGGAAAAAAAATCGATTTCATCCCACTCGGCCCACTGGCAGCCCTCGACGACCCCTTGGTCTCCACCCTCGGCACCCCTGGCTTCCGGGAAAGACGCGGAAACGCCGCCGGATGTCGCCTCTGGACGGCACCGAGGTTCTCTTTCAGTTTGCCAGACGGCGATTAAACAGAAACAAAAAGCGAAAGCGAGTATTACGCCGGGAAGAAACGGCACTGTTTACCGTGAAAAAGTGTGAAATTTTCTATAGCATAAATTTCGTTATTTCTTCATTCTCTATTTTAGGAATTATTTTGAGGAATCACGATATAGTGTTAGAAAATTCAACTCCGACATATCTTGCTAGCTAAAACAATTTATCTAAACCTACCAGCGTTCGAATAAAAATTATTCTAATTATTCGATTATTATTTACATATCGTTAACCCTCATCATCCGTCTCTAATTACTCTGGGAAGCAATATTCGTATAGTGTTGGAAAATTTGATTAACATTTTAAAGCAGATCGAATAATTTCTCTGTCTCTTTGCAGATCCAGCGAAGACGAGTATTGTCCATCAGAGGACGTCGATCAAATCCAGTTCGGGGTGCTCGACGAACTTCGTCAACGTCTGGGAGATATCGACGTTCGTTTAACCTATCAGGAGGAGGAAGAAACCCTTTAAACGCTACAAAATAAACATACCTTCCTTTTTCCCGTTTTAAGATGTACATTTTAATCGAACAGCGTTCTCTTTAATACAATAAACGTTTTCCTATGAAAACATCCGCCTCTGTTAATCGCATCTTTCCTCCGCTATTCCGGCAGATCTTAAAAATAAACCAGCCCGGTGATTCTCAAATCGGTCGTTACTCAGACAAGCCCCTCTCGAGCGAGGACCAAATGAAAAGCTCGCAAAGACCAATTACACTCATTCCGTGGGCAAAGAGAACTAAGTCGAGAGAAGTCCAGCGACGGTGGTGCATTGAATCGATGGAATAACATCAGAAGATCAGAAGGCGAGGAGGAAGAAGGAAACTGGCACGTCTTTGATCAGAGCGACGATTTACATAAGATCGGTGCCACTGGTCCATTATAAGAACCCAGCACAATGCCAACCTGAAGGTTAGCGTTTTTTTGCACCGAGCTACCCCTGCACCCCTCAGCTCCTTCCATCGGCCGCCCATTTGCATACCGGTAGGCCAGTTTCCCACACGTCTTAACAGCCATCGTTCCTTCCTACTCTTTCTCCAGCCTTCCTCTCAGTGTTTCCGTCTACCTCCGTTCCCTTTTCGCTCACAACCCTTTCAGTCAGCCGGGACAAAAAAGCCAAGGAACACAGAAAAAAGACGTCTTCCTTCTTCCAAGATGCTGGCGTTTCCTGGCGAGAAACGCCTCTCGTCGTGGCCTTCGAGGACCATTCAGAGCCTATCGTGATCGTGAGTGCGCGTGTATGCATATCTTCTTGGATATCGAGTTTCTAATCCAGGATACACGTGCAGGTGTCGGTTTGTCAGAAAAATACTCGGATATTCGACAAAATTTTCGCGTAAAATTAATGAAACATGTACGATATATATAGCGAAGGTTTGGAAGTAATTCAGAATATTCGAGAAATATCGGAGATGGATTAAATCTTTTCGCGTTATGATTTCAACGTTATACTAGCCTCGAAATTAGCTTCTAATGGTGGAACAAAAGGGATTAGTCGATTCGAAGTGACGCTCAAGTTTATCAGCTATTCGTCGTAGCACGAGCGAAATGAGTCATTCGACGGTTAAGTGATCGTACACAATTGCGCGTTTAAGGGTAGCACAGAGGCAACGGGCGATAACGCGCGAATAAACGTTAAATGGACAAGGTGAATGCGGAAGTGCGGTTGCAGGGTAGGGACGAATTTTAAAGAACCGCAAGGAAAGTTTACGAGCTGCCAGGCTCACGTAATGACTGTCGTTAACCATGGTGCGGGCCTCTCGCCACGGAGAGGCCAGACCTTTGTATGCTAATGACAGGGTGGTCCGATTTCAAGCACCCTGAGTAAAAAATCTTAGGGGTCAACAGACCCATCGTTCGGCCGAGTTTTAAATCTCCCTCGAGTACCATTGACCTCGAATTAAAAACGGGCTCGACCTTCGACCCGTTGCAAACTTTACCACCACGAACGGAACCGTGCTTTTTCGCAAATTCATTCACGACTCGGCCTACACCCGACACGCTTCCTTATTCGTGACGAAATTAACTTTTCGTCTGACAGTCCACTGCGTCTATGGCAACGGAGAGAACACGAGGCCCTCGGGACAACGGTGTGTAACCATTCGCCGAAGTAATACGTACATTAATATTCATTAAACTGCACCCGCCTTGTTCAGTTAAGAAAGGAATTTCTGGAAGGCGCGCGTCGTTGCACGAGTAACCCAGAATCGATCTCGCGTGGTTCGAGTTGGTGGTAGAATTTCTTGTGGGGCTCTGAGGATGGTGTAGAGTTCAAGAGATGCTCGCTGATTTATTCTCCTCGCTACGGCAATGCTTTTGTCTCAATAAATAGTCTGATACGAATAAATAGAAAATCTATAAAAGTGTAACGATATCTAATATAATTTTGAAATGCCACAAATATGAATAATAGTTGGAATGTAATTTTAAAAGTTCGAAAGTAGTCGAATAATTAAATTACGCATAATAGTATATTTTATTATACGTAGAAATGCGAGGAATTTAGGTAACTCTAACTGCAAGTCAAATTTAATTTTGTATATCGTAGTTGTACAGGAAAATAATTCGATGAACAATAAAACCAGGATTGTTTAAAAGAATATAACAGGGAAGGTTGCTTTACGTCACGGTCTGAACGCAATTCTAAGCGTCTCATTCTCTCTCATGGCTGTTCGGATTTCATTCACCCAGGTGACACCGTGACATTGGGTTCTAGGGGAATTATTCAAAACCAGGTCTGGCTGGCAAAAGTACAGCCGTCCCTGGCACCGTAATCCCGTATTCGATTTGCATAAAACGGAAACGCAAAAAAGCAACAGACGAGAAAACAAAAGTGCCAAGAGTGCGCAATGAAGTGCACGTATCGAACGTTCTATCTGAAAAACTGCTTCGCATAAACTCCCTGTCAAATTCTCCCGAATACTATGATTTTCCGTCATTGCATACTATTATTGCCTAGCCACGTACACAGCTAAAAAATGAATATTCTCATTAACCACGATAGAATGCCACATCTAAATATCAGATATCTGACATTCCGCATCAACTGCCTATATTTGCAAACCTAAATAATTTTCGCCACAGGAATACGATCAAAATTAAATTCGAACGCTTTCGTGGCCGTTCGCGATACCTACGCTAACATAGTTAAACTGATACGAGCTCGGGGAAAATTCGACGAAGAAAATATTCGCTACAGCTTCATTCCGATAAACGATACTCGATCAAAGATTACTACGCTACTATACCTACGGTATAACAAATACAGGAAAAAAAAAAAAAAAATCATCCGTAAATGGTTGATTTGGCGCCATCTCGTGATGAAATTAGGGAAATAGTATTCGGACTTCCGGCGGTGGCAGGAAAAAAAATCGATTTCATCCCACTCGGCCCACTGGCAGCCCTCGACGACCCCTTGGTCTCCACCCTCGGCACCCCTGGCTTCCGGGAAAGACGCGGAAACGCCGCCGGATGTCGCCTCTGGACGGCACCGAGGTTCTCTTTCAGTTTGCCAGACGGCGATTAAACAGAAACAAAAAGCGAAAGCGAGTATTACGCCGGGAAGAAACGGCACTGTTTACCGTGAAAAAGTGTGAAATTTTCTATAGCATAAATTTCGTTATTTCTTCATTCTCTATTTTAGGAATTATTTTGAGGAATCACGATATAGTGTTAGAAAATTCAACTCCGACATATCTTGCTAGCTAAAACAATTTATCTAAACCTACCAGCGTTCGAATAAAAATTATTCTAATTATTCGATTATTATTTACATATCGTTAACCCTCATCATCCGTCTCTAATTACTCTGGGAAGCAATATTCGTATAGTGTTGGAAAATTTGATTAACATTTTAAAGCAGATCGAATAATTTCTCTGTCTCTTTGCAGATCCAGCGAAGACGAGTATTGTCCATCAGAGGACGTCGATCAAATCCAGTTCGGGGTGCTCGACGAACTTCGTCAACGTCTGGGAGATATCGACGTTCGTTTAACCTATCAGGAGGAGGAAGAAACCCTTTAAACGCTACAAAATAAACATACCTTCCTTTTTCCCGTTTTAAGATGTACATTTTAATCGAACAGCGTTCTCTTTAATACAATAAACGTTTTCCTATGAAAACATCCGCCTCTGTTAATCGCATCTTTCCTCCGCTATTCCGGCAGATCTTAAAAATAAACCAGCCCGGTGATTCTCAAATCGGTCGTTACTCAGACAAGCCCCTCTCGAGCGAGGACCAAATGAAAAGCTCGCAAAGACCAATTACACTCATTCCGTGGGCAAAGAGAACTAAGTCGAGAGAAGTCCAGCGACGGTGGTGCATTGAATCGATGGAATAACATCAGAAGATCAGAAGGCGAGGAGGAAGAAGGAAACTGGCACGTCTTTGATCAGAGCGACGATTTACATAAGATCGGTGCCACTGGTCCATTATAAGAACCCAGCACAATGCCAACCTGAAGGTTAGCGTTTTTTTGCACCGAGCTACCCCTGCACCCCTCAGCTCCTTCCATCGGCCGCCCATTTGCATACCGGTAGGCCAGTTTCCCACACGTCTTAACAGCCATCGTTCCTTCCTACTCTTTCTCCAGCCTTCCTCTCAGTGTTTCCGTCTACCTCCGTTCCCTTTTCGCTCACAACCCTTTCAGTCAGCCGGGACAAAAAAGCCAAGGAACACAGAAAAAAGACGTCTTCCTTCTTCCAAGATGCTGGCGTTTCCTGGCGAGAAACGCCTCTCGTCGTGGCCTTCGAGGACCATTCAGAGCCTATCGTGATCGTGAGTGCGCGTGTATGCATATCTTCTTGGATATCGAGTTTCTAATCCAGGATACACGTGCAGGTGTCGGTTTGTCAGAAAAATACTCGGATATTCGACAAAATTTTCGCGTAAAATTAATGAAACATGTACGATATATATAGCGAAGGTTTGGAAGTAATTCAGAATATTCGAGAAATATCGGAGATGGATTAAATCTTTTCGCGTTATGATTTCAACGTTATACTAGCCTCGAAATTAGCTTCTAATGGTGGAACAAAAGGGATTAGTCGATTCGAAGTGACGCTCAAGTTTATCAGCTATTCGTCGTAGCACGAGCGAAATGAGTCATTCGACGGTTAAGTGATCGTACACAATTGCGCGTTTAAGGGTAGCACAGAGGCAACGGGCGATAACGCGCGAATAAACGTTAAATGGACAAGGTGAATGCGGAAGTGCGGTTGCAGGGTAGGGACGAATTTTAAAGAACCGCAAGGAAAGTTTACGAGCTGCCAGGCTCACGTAATGACTGTCGTTAACCATGGTGCGGGCCTCTCGCCACGGAGAGGCCAGACCTTTGTATGCTAATGACAGGGTGGTCCGATTTCAAGCACCCTGAGTAAAAAATCTTAGGGGTCAACAGACCCATCGTTCGGCCGAGTTTTAAATCTCCCTCGAGTACCATTGACCTCGAATTAAAAACGGGCTCGACCTTC